CAGCTTTGCCACCCTTGTTGGTGGAGGACCCATCCACATAAAGTCCCCAGCATGGTATAGTGGGTGATGGAGAGGGAGCTAACTCAGTGGGCGATGTTGGAGTCAGAGAGGTAGGAAACAGCAGGTGGCTAAGAGAGTCCTGTAGAGTGGTCTTGGGTATGGTGGGTGGTGCCCCAGGCATGGGGGTGGCACCCTAGGCCAGGGGGTGGCGCCCCAAGCCAAGTGGGCGGCGCCCAAGGTTGCCTAGCCTAGGGCTCCGCCTCCTATTCCTTTCTGGGTTTGTCGAGTTGAGCAGCGTATAGTCTAATCTCCTGGTGGGTTAAGTCAACGTGTACTGAGCAGGTGGGTGCAGGGATACCCATCACTTCTTCCTTTGGCTCTTGTGGTGGTGTGGACTCAGCTATGAAATCTGCGAGTGCATGTGCTTTAATGGCTGACCGTGGCTGATATTGCATATCGAACTCGCTTAACTCAAAGGCCCACTTGAGCAATCGGCCGGATACAACAAGCTTCCTTAAAATTCTTTTGAGTGGTTGATATATGACAACCATGATGGTGTGGATCTAAAAGTAATGGCGCAGGCGCCTAGCGGCATTGACAAGGGTGAAAACCAACTTTTCCAATTCTGAGTACCTCACCTCTACCCCTCGATACACCCTGCTTACATAGTATACTGGCTTCTGGATGCCCTCATTCCTTCTGATGAGGACTGAGCTTACGACAGAGGGGGAAGGGAGAGGTAAAGGTAGAGAGTCTCCTCAGGTACAACATGGGATAGTAGTGGCGGTGTGGCAAGGTAGGCCTTGAGCTTTTGGAAGGCCTCCTCAACATGTGGGCCCCACTAGAAGGACTTGTGAAGGATCTTAAAAAAAGGGAAACATTTATCTGTAGATTTTGAAACAAACCTGTTAAGGGCTTCTATTCTGCTGTTGAGGCACTAGACCTCCTTGGTTGAGGCAGGGGACTTCATCTCCAAGACTGCTCTGATTTTTTTCTGGTTGGCTTTAATGCCCTTTTTTTGGATCATGAAGCCTAAGAATTTTCCTGAACTGACGCCAAAGGCACACTTTTCAGGATTCAATTTCATCTTGTAGGCTCTCAACACGTCAAAGATCTCTTGCAGGTATGCTACATGATGTGCCGTTCCTGCACTCTTCACCAGCATATCGTCTACATAGATCTCCTTGGTATTCCCAATCTAGGCTTTGAACATCTTGTTGATGAGGCACTGGTATGTGGCTTTAGCGTTCATGATCCCGAAAGACATCACCCTATAACAGTAAGTGCCTCTCGGGTAATGAATGAGGTATTCTCTTGATCTAGTGGGAACATGCTGATCTGATTGTAGCTGCAATAGGCATCCAAAAAGCTTAGGAGTTCGTGTCTAGCAGTGACGTCAATGATTCGGTCGATGTGCGGGAGAAAGTAGCTATCCTTAGGACAAACCTTGTTAAGCTCTATGAAGTCCATGCAGAGACGCCATTTTTCATTGACCTTTCTCACCATTCTCACCACTTTTCTTTTCAAGGTACTGTCATCCCTGGGGTCAACCACTTAGACTTGAAGAGTCTCGTACGGTCTCCTAGCCCTCATAGAGGCCACATAGCACTCTCTAGCTAAGACTTGGTCTCCTCTTATCTCCCCAATCCCATTGGAGGTTGGGAAACAGAGGAGAAGGTGGTAAGTTGAGGGTACTTCCATTAAGGCATTGAGGTCAGGGCATCCAAGGATTACATTATAAGTAGAAAGACAGTCAAGTACCAAAAAATTTACCATAATAGTAGAGCTCCTTAGTGCCGCCCCCGCTATGACAGATAGGGTGATGGATCCCAAGGGCTAGACACTCTCTCTTGAGAAGCCAACCAAGAGAGTCCTGAATGGCTGCAGTCTCTCTCTCCCTAGATTAAGGCTATCATGGGCAGTGACAAATAAAAATGTCGATGAAGTTGCCAGTGTCAACTAGAACTCTCCTGACCTGAAAGTTGGCCACCATCAAGGTTAACACTAGAGGGTCATCATGTGGGACCTGGATCTCCTCAAGGTCTCTGTCTAAGAAGGTGATGACCTCCTCCTCCCCATGTTGGGGTGTCTTTATTGGACAAGAGTCATAAGACTCTGCTTGACTGGTTCTACAGGCGTGAGCCTTCCTGGCAAAGTTGGAGTCACCTCATTTTCCTAACCCTCCAGTGATGGTCTAAATCTCATCGAGGGGCTACTGGCACTCTCGTTCTTCGTGTGGAGGAGATGATCCTCGACCAGCCATATACTTTATGAGCTGACCCCGTTAGATAAGTTCCTCAATCTGCTTCTTTATGTGTTATGTCCATGGTCGCGGTGGAAGTGTCAATACTTTTTGGAGTTTCGGCTCTTCAGGTCATTATTTATCTTTCCAGGCCAACGGATTACGGGGTCATCCTGTATCTGGAACAGAATGTGCTCTACTGAGGCATTGAGTGGAGTGAATAGCTGTCGGTCTCTCGGGGGCAGTGGTCTGAGACAGTCTTTTATGGAGACCCTTTCAGCCTTCTTTCTCTTGTTCTCGATCTTCCTTCTATCTTCTTGGCTATCTTTCCTTTTCTCCCCCCTTAGGAGGACTCACCTCTACGGACTTTGGTGACATTCTCAGCGTTCATGTATTTCTGTGCCCTGGACAGCAGCTTGGGCATGTTGGAGGGCAGCTTCTTGAGGATTGAGAACATGAAGCTGGAGGTGCGAAGGCTGGCGATAAAGGCAGCCAGAGCTACTTTATCATCTGGCTCCTCAACCTAGAGAATCTCCTTAGTGAAGCGGGTAAGGTAGTCTCTAAGGATTTCATCCCTGTTCTGCTTGATAGTGAGTAGGTGGGTCACTTATTTTTTTATACAGGCATCCCCCAATGAAGTGGGAGACGAAAGACCTACTCAGTTCTACGAAAGAGCTGATGAATGAGGGCCTAAGCTTAGAGAACCATTGGTGAGCAGACCCATTCAAGGTGGTAGGGAAAGCTCTGCACATAATCTTCTCAAGCACGTTATGGAGTTGCATGTGGGACTTATGTGTGTTAAGATGGTCGAGGGGGTCTTTGGTGCCATCGAAGATCTCGATGGTAGACATCTTGAATTTCGAAGGCAGAGGATAATTGACAATATCAGCAATAAAAGGCGTATCAATGTGTCTTACCAAGTAGTCCACGGTTTCAGACGTCTATGTCTTGATGGCGTTTAGGGCATCACCAAGTTGGTTTTGCACCTCCCTAATCTTCTCGTTCTAGTGATTGGGGACAGCCTCAATCCGGTGATGGTACTGGCTTTTATGGTCTACATATTGGCTTTATCTATCTTCGTTCTCCTACCTTGGTTCATGAGGAGGGAAAAATCGTGAACTCCCTATGCGCTGAGGAGGGATTGCTAGGCAAAGAGCGCCCTGGCGTGGCCCTGTAGTGTTTTGGCTAGGGGCCCTATGGTGAGGGCTGTTTGGTGCCTAGAAAGGATAAGTTGTTGCTCCTCTCTTGTTGGAGGGAGTAGGGCTCCTCCCACCAAGTGAGGGGCAACGCCTCCTTGGGCAAATATCAGTTGGATGATCTGCAAATTTTGGCTCACAAGCAGCTGCATGGTTTGGAGGAGCTGTTGTTGTTGCCCGGTGGGAGTCATAGTAGCAAATGGTTCCCCAAGTGCGAAGGGAGGTAGAGCCTCCTCCCGATGGGCAGAGTTGTTGTCTCTCGGCTCTTGGCTCATTGATCTAGTAGTGATTGCCATAAATTAAAAGAGTAGGAAAACTAGTCTTTCCCATAGACAGCGCCAAACTAATGATGCACCAAATGGTATGGCGCAAGTTCAACCGTCTTGTATATGAAGAGGCGTAATCAATGAGCTACTAACAAGCAATCACTGACAATTAAGAGCTAAGGTAGTAAATAATGGATCAACACAAATATTTTTAGTGGTTCGGTCCGGATGACCTACTTCACTCTCAAGAACGGTTGCGGTGGCCTGAGGTGTTTATTAATGAATAATGTATTTAGGTGAGTAACTCCAGGGGTATCACAATGCTTTGGGAGAGAGAGAACAATGTGTGTAAAGGGATGTGTAGATGGTTTTTAGGCGTGCCCTCATTATTGAGAGGGTATACATTATATAGTTAGAGTAAGGAGGTGACGTGAGGGGGACGGTTTCTACTATTTTGGTAAGCATAATTGTAGTAAGACTCGATCTCCATCCTGATATTTTCTCCCTTGTGCTCCTATATAGTTGGAGGTGGATCCTGAATCAGATTGGACTTGATCCTGAGCCTGGGCTTTGGTTGGTGGCTGGACCTAAATTGGAATGGGACGAAGAGGAGGCAAGTGGGGAAAGCAAGGAGGAAACAGGGGAGGAGCCCTTGGGCGACGCTAGGGGCTTGGGTGACCCCCTTGGGCGGTGCCCTTGGTTCCTCATATAGACGGCACCCCTTTGGTGTCCCTACTGCTTTTGGCTTCTTGATATCTCTTAGGTGGTAGCATGTGGGGCTCTTTTATGGGTATGGATCACTTGGGCTTCTTGATTTATTTTTGTTGGGTTTGGCCTAGTCAAATTCGGGCTCATCATTTGCACCCCCCGCCCCCCCGTACCCCCAGCCTTCCAACTTTCAGCGCGAGGAAAGGATTGAGGGCATGTGTCTTAGTCTTCGAGTAAGATTTTTCTTATCCGTCATGACACCTTTTTATCCTTGAGACTCACTGAACTTATATCGAAATTGTTTTTTTCAGTGCTCCTTCGTCTGTAAATAGAAGTAACTGTTCTTCACCTTTCCTTATCCTTTTCTCATCTCGAGAGGCTTTCCCCAAGATTGTCCCTCCAAGCTTCTTCAATAAGCTACTTCATTAAGCTTCCCAAGAAGCTAACTCATCAAGCTTCCTCAAGAAGCTTTATCAATGCTTCCTCAAGTAGCCATTTCTTCCCTATTTAAATGCCTTTCAAGAGGTCATTGTTCATCCCCCATTTCTCTTCCCTTAGTCTTCACTTTTCTCAAACTATAAGAAACCCATGGAGACTGGGAGCTCAACAAAGCATGGAGTGGGTCTTGATGGAGGTAGTGCCTATGAGGAGGCCAGCCTAGGCGGCGCCCAAGGCGGTTTTGGCATGGGCGATTCTCCCGTTATTCCTTCGGGTGGCTCTCGGTGGGGCGTTGGTTGTAGCACCGGTACTCTCGGGACCTTTGGTGTGATATCAGGCGTAGGCAAAGAATTCTCAAGCAAACCTTTCAGAGTAACAGGAGGTGTCTGGGGTGTTGGAGAGCTAAAAGGTGGGTGCTTGATGTATTTCATTGCAAATTCCTAACCTCTCAACGTCATCCCTCAATGTGTCTATGACTTATGTGTATAAGGGAGTGTTACTCTCCCTTGAAATGATGCAAGAGATAGGGCAATGGAATGGAGGATGGAATGGAATGAAATGAACAAAATTTGTGTGTGAAATGAAATGCTTATATGAACAAAAGTGCTCCCCAAGCACAAAGAGTCTTTTGAGTGTCGTGTTTTACTTGGAAATGTATTCTAAGGTCGTCTCCTCAGGGAAGGAAAGTTCAAGTGTGTGAAAGTGATTTTGTGAACAAAAGAAAAAGTGTAAAATCTTGTAGTTGGTTTTGGTGAGTTTTGTTTCAATGAAAATACAAGAAAACAAGTGTTGACTAATCCAAAGAGTTCATTCCAATGAAAATCTCAAATTAACTCGAAACCTTCCTCTAGTGGTGCATAGATGAATGATTGATTCGTGAGAAAATAGAGACGAGATGGTGAGGATTCAAGCATAAATAGTGACCAGGCCTATGGATTATCAAAGACTCACAACCACATCCACTCTCAATCCAGTCAAACCGAACCATCGTACACCGATAGGAGGAAAGGAAATGAGTTGAAATGGCATGCCCAAGAAGAGGTCTCCCTTGGATTAGCCAACTTAAAATCTAGCTACTCATGAAAGCAAGAAGGAAATGCATAATGTAAAGAGACATAATATTGAAATGAAGATTAGAACTCAACTTAATGCAAGAAAACTTAAACTAAGTAGAAAATATGCAATACCCATTTTAAGAAAAACTTGAAGTGAAAAAAATTCATACAACAATGGTAGATTCTAAGTTACACAACTAAACTTGCAATGAACTTGAAATAGCTAAGATTAAAGTGCAAGAAATAAAGATTACAAGATATTTAAAGCTTACTACAATTGAAATGGAAAGGAAAATTCAAAAATATAAATTTTACACTATTCATCATGTTCTTCATTGGATTTTCTAAGCTCAGGTAGCCACCCCCAATATCTTGTGTGAATGCTGAATATAGGGAGTGTGTGCCTTCAAATTTCATCCATGAGGGGTCCTTCTAGTTGTGTGAAAGGCCTCCCATCAATAGGTGGCTGAATGGATGGGTATGGCAGGCTTAGCCTGCACTCCCCAAGCTTCACCCCTTCNCTTAGAGAATCTCTTTAGTGAAGCGGGTAAGGTAGTCTCTAAGGCTTTCATCCCTGTTCTGCTTGATAGTGAGTAGGTGGGTCACTTGTTTTTTTATACAGGCATCTCCCAATGAAGTGGGAGACGAAAGACCTACTCAGTTCTACGAAAGAGCTGATGAATGAGGGCCTAAGCTTGGAGAACCATTGGTGAGCAGACCCATTCAAGGTGGTAGGGAAAGCTCTACACATAATCTTCTCAAGCACGTTATGGAGTTGCATGTGGGACTTATGTGTGTTAAGATGGTCGAGGGGGTCTTTGGTGCCATCGAAGATCTCGATGGTAGACATCTTGAATTTCGAAGGCAGAGGATAATTGACAATATCAGCAATAAAAGGCGTATCAATGTGTCTTACCAAGTAGTCCACGGTTTCAGACGTCTATGTCTTGATGGCGTTTAGGGCATCACCAAGTTGGTTTTGCACCTCCCTAATCTTCTCGTTCTAGTGATTGGGGACAGCCTCAATCGGGTGATGGTACTGGCTTTTATGGTCTACATATTGGCTTTATCTATCTTCGTTCTCCTACACTGGTTCATGAGGAGGGAAAACTCGTGAACTCCCTATGCGCTGAGGAGGGACTGCTAGGCAAAGAGCGCCCTGGCGTGGCCCTGTAGTGTTTTGGCTAGGGGCCCCATGGTGAGGGCTGTTTGGTGCCTAGAAAGGATAAGTTGTTGCTCCTCTCTTGTTGGAGGGAGTAGGGCTCCTCCCACCAAGTGAGGGGCAACGCCTCCTTGGGCAAATATCAGTTGGATGATCTGCAAATTTTGGCTCACAAGCAGCTGCATGGTTTGGAGGAGCTGTTGTTGTTGCCCGGTGGGAGTCATAGTAGCAAATGGTTCCCCAAGTGCGAAGGGAGGTAGAGCCTCCTCCCGATGGGCAGAGTTGTTGTCTCTCGGCTCTTGGCTCATTGATCTAGTAGTGATTGCCATAAATTAAAAGAGTAGGAAAACTAGTCTTTCCCATAGACAGCGCCAAACTAATGATGCACCAAATGGTATGGCACAAGTTCAACCGTCTTGTATATGAAGAGGCGTAATCAATGAGCTACTAACAAGCAATCACTGACAATTAAGAGCTAAGGTAGTAAATAATGGATCAACACAAATATTTTTAGTGGTTCGGTCCGGATGACCTACTTCACTCTCAAGAACGGTTGCGGTGGCCTGAGGTGTTTATTAATGAATAATGTATTTAGGTGAGTAACTCCAGGGGTATCACAATGCTTTGGGAGAGAGAGAACAATGTGTGTAAAGGGATGTGTAGATGGTTTTTAGGCGTGCCCTCATTATTGAGAGGGTATACATTATATAGTTAGAGTAAGGAGGTGACGTGAGGGGGACGGTTTCTACTATTTTGGTAAGCATAATTGTAGTAAGACTCGATCTCCATCCTGATATTTTCTCCCTTGTGCTCCTATATAGTTGGAGGTGGATCCTGAATCAGATTGGACTTGATCCTGAGCCTGGGCTTTGGTTGGTGGCTGGACCTAAATTGGAATGGGACGAAGAGGAGGCAAGTGGGGAAAGCAAGGAGGAAACAGGGGAGGAGCCCTTGGGCGACGCTAGGGGCTTGGGTGACCCCCTTGGGCGGTGCCCTTGGTTCCTCATATAGACGGCACCCCTTTGGTGTCCCTACTGCTTTTGGCTTCTTGATATCTCTTAGGTGGTAGCATGTGGGGCTCTTTTATGGGTATGGATCACTTGGGCTTCTTGATTTATTTTTGTTGGGTTTGGCCTAGTCAAATTCAGGCTCATCATTTGCACCCCCCGCCCCCCGTACCCCCAGTCTTCCAACTTTCAGCGGGAGGAAAGGATTGAGGGCATGTGTCTTCGTCTTCGAGTAAGATTTTTCTTATCCGTCATGACACCTTTTTATCCTTGAGACTCACTGAACTTATATCGAAATTGTTTTTTTCAGTGCTCCTTCGTCTGTAAATAGAAGTAACTGTTCTTCACCTTTCCTTATCCTTTTCTCATCTCGAGAGGCTTTCCCCAAGATTGTCCCTCCAAGCTTCTTCAATAAGCTACTTCATTAAGCTTCCCAAGAAGCTAACTCATCAAGCTTCCTCAAGAAGCTTTATCAATGCTTCCTCAAGTAGCCATTTCTTCCCTATTTAAATGCCTTTCAAGAGGTCATTGTTCATCCCCCATTTCTCTTCCCTTAGTCTTCACTTTTCTCAAACTATAAGAAACCCATGGAGACTGGGAGCTCAACAAAGCATGGAGTGGGTCTTGATGGAGGTAGTGCCTATGAGGAGGCCAGCCTAGGCGGCGCCCAAGGCGGTTTTGGCATGGGCGATTCTCCCGTTATTCCTTCGGGTGGCTCTCGGTGGGGCGTTGGTTGTAGCACCGGTACTCTCGGGACCTTTGGTGTGATATCAGGCGTAGGCAAAGAATTCTCAAGCAAACCTTTCAGAGTAACAGGAGGTGTCTGGGGTGTTGGAGAGCTAAAAGGTGGGTGCTTGATGTATTTCATTGCAAATTCCTAACCTCTCAACGTCATCCCTCAATGTGTCTATGACTTATGTGTATAAGGGAGTGTTACTCTCCCTTGAAATGATGCAAGAGATAGGGCAATGGAATGGAGGATGGAATGGAATGAAATGAACAAAATATGTGTGTGAAATGAAATGCTTATATGAACAAAAGTGCTCCCCAAGCACAAAGAGTCTTTTGAGTGTCGTGTTTTACTTGGAAATGTATTCTAAGGTCGTCTCCTCAGGGAAGGAAAGTTCAAGTGTGTGAAAGTGATTTTGTAAACAAAAGAAAAAGTGTAAAATCTTGTAGTTGGTTTTGGTGAGTTTTGTTTTTAATGAAAATACAAGAAAATAAGTGTTGGCTAATCCAAAGAGGTCATTCCAATGAAAATCTCAAATTAACTTGAAACCTTCCTCTAGTGGTGCATAGATGAATGATTGATTCATGAGAAACTAGAGACGAGATGGGGAGGATTCAAGCATAAATAGTGACCAGGCCTATGGATTATCAAAGACTCACAACCACATCCACTCTCAATTCAGTCAAACCGAACCATCGTACACCGATAGGAGGAAAGGAAATGAGTTGAAATGGCATGCCCAATAAGAGGTCTCCCTTGGATTAGCCAACTTAAAATCTAGCTACTCATGAAAGCAAGAAGGAAATGCATAATGTAAAGAGACATAATATTGAAATGAAGATTAGAACTCAACTTAATGCAAGAAAACTTAAACTAAGTAGAAAATATGCAATACCCATTTTAAGAAAAACTTGAAGTGAAAAAAATTCATACAACAATGGTAGATTCTAAGTTACACAACTAAACTTGCAATGAACTTGAAATAGCTAAGATTAAAGTGCAAGAAATAAAGATTACAAGATATTTAAAGCTTACTACAATTGAAATGGAAAGGAAAATTCAAAAATATAAATTTTACACTATTCATCATGTTCTTCATTGGATTTTCTAAGCTCAGGTAGCCACCCCCAATATCTTGTGTGAATGCTGAATATAGGGAGTGTGTGCCTTCAAATTTCATCCATGAGGGGTCCTTCTAGTTGTGTGAAAGGCCTCCCATCAATAGGTGGCTGAATGGATGGGTATGGCAGGCTTAGCCTGCACTCCCCAAGCTTCACCCCTTCTTTTTCTCCTCATGGAATGCCAAGCCTCAAAAGTCCCCATCAAGGGTGTAGGAGGCATGAAGATGAGTAGAAAATGTTGGGGAGCAAGTGGGAGAAGTGTAAGTGGGACCCCCAAGAAAGTGGAGCATGAAAACAGTCATGCTGGGCACTTCAGGTGAGTGTACCGGTACCCTAAACTCCAGAGGCAGAACCGTACCGGTACTCTTCTACTCTAGACCAATTTTTGTAGAAGTGACATAACCTTTGATCCAATCGTTGGATGGAGCTGAAATTTGAACACAATACAGAAGACATCCCGATCTACAACTTTCATGTTTTGCACTACTTCGAATTCGAAGTGGATCATGGTCAACAATGGAAAAAATAGAGGTACTTTGTCAAAACCTTGGGAAACCAGTGGGCTAAACCTTCCAAAATCCATTTCTCTTGGTTTCTTCACCTTCGAAGCCTCCCATTTAATGTGTCCATGCCTTCACCACACATCCATACTTGGTTGCAAGGTTCTAAAATACATGATTTACACTATAATTACCCGCAACATCAAAAATTCAACATTATTCATAATTTCAGCTAATTCTAAGTACTTAGATGCAAAAGTTGAGTTGAAATGCATGTAATGAGGCCTTCAAATATGTAATATTTTTCTCTCATCAGTGGGTCCTCAAGAGAGGCAAGTGACCCCCCAAGCAGTGCCTACTGTGCAATGGGCGGCGCCCCAAGCTTCCCAGGCATGACTCAAGCTCCCTTCTCCAAGGCTGATGGTGCGGGCGGCAGTCAAAGCGCTAAGTCCCTCACTCCAGACCGTGGTGGAGATACAGGCAAGCCTGGTGGCATTGTTGGTAATAGCAAGAAACGGTCTATTAGCGACTTGGGTCAATTGAGCACTCAAGATATGCTTCTCAGTATTTTTTTCTTCTTCTTGGTTTCTTCTTTGGGCATTGGTTCTCATTTCCTCTCTCTTTTTTTTTCTTTTCTATTGGCATAATTATTTTCTTTAGCAATGGTCTGAACTTGCTTTTGTTGATTGTTCAATCAGGCAAGAGGGAGACTGTTGGGCACCCCGAAGGAGGCCCATCTGCCAACAAAGGCAATGATTCAAAGGTAACTTCCATACTTAGCTCCTTGTCATAGTGATGAAGACGTTGTAGCCGTAGTATCTTTTTATCGCATTCCATCCTCTGTGACGTGTCATCACGCTGAGGCCGACAAGCTAGCGTGATGTGACTCTTTAGATGAGATTGCTATTTATGAGGGCATGTTGGAGGCCAGCCTGAGGCTCCCGATTCCCAATCTCATATGTCAGGTCCTAAGTCATCTATCGTTGGTTCCCGGGAAATTGGCCCCGAATGGTTAGCAGGTGATAATAGCATTCTTTGCATTGTAGGGGTTGGTGCATGGCAATACTGTTCCTCCACCCTTTGAGGAATTCTTGAGTACCTACGTACTTTTGGAGAACCATGTTCCTCACCAAGGGTGGTACCGCTTCTCTTTGAGATCATGTAAGTTCATTACTAGGCTTACATCTAATCTTCACAAGTGGAAGAAAACATTATTCTTTACCTGAGGTGAGTGGGCTTCCGAATCTAACCGCGGCATGGTGCCTACCCAATGGGATATAGTTCCAAAAATCAAGTTGGGTAAGAACTTTTACCTTTAACTTCTATCTTTACTTATCATATATTTGTTCTTATAATGTTACTATCCTCCTATAGCTGCACCAACTCTATCTGTGGATCAAGAGAGGACGCTCTAGATGGTACATGACAATCCATTCAGGGAGTTCTTAGAAATTATTTCAATAGCTGGTGTTTCCACATCTCTTTTAAGGCTGAGCAAGAAAGGTACCAAACTTTTTTAGTGATGCTCTTGAAAACACCACATTGCAGGCTTTCTGACTTACATTGGATCTGTAGGTGGCCTCCTTGATAGGTCATTGGTGGAGTCCATATGTGATTCCAGAGTGATGACTTCTCCTCATCCCCCTTCCAAGAAGGCGAGGGCTAGTGCCCCTAGTTCTTCTTAGCCAGGGCCTACTAGACAGGCTGGTCTCGTAGAGGCAGAGCTCAGAGATGCTCATTTTCCCTCTTTAGTTGATGTTTTCTCATCTCCCAGAGACGGTTCTAGCACACTATGGGGGCTGAGGATCTAGTGCCGTGTTCTACCGGGATAAAGGATCTGCCAAGTTATTCCCCTTCTGGTGATGCTCCAGTGTCTATGCTGCTGGAAGTCAGGTTGGCTAGGGAGAGACTATGCGATTTTGTGTCTGGCATAGAAGCCCAAGAGGTTGCTCCTCGAGGTCTAGATGGCGTAGTTAGTGCCACTGTAGAGGGTTTAGCTTTGGTATATCTTACACCCTTGCTTTGCATCTGGGTTTTTTTGTCATATCTTGGCTTACTTTTTGACTTTCTTTTTGTTTCATATTCGAATGCCTATAGGTAGCTGGTGCCTTGCCCTGCTTGTTTAATAATACCCTAACGATTGGGGAGGCAATCACTGGTCGGGCAATGGAGAGGCAAACACGTGAGGCTGCGGAGGAGCAGCTTGGACTTGAGCGATAGGCACGAGAGGATACCACGAAACTTGCACGAAAGGCACAAAAAGATGCCACGAAGCAGGTGAGGCTTGAGTAGCAGGCTTAAGAGGATGCCGCTGAGGAGTTAAGGCTAGCGCTCGAGAAGGCTGCCCAANTGCACGAAAGGCACAAAAGGATGCCACGAAGCAGCTGAGGCTTGAGTAGTAGGCTTAAGAGGATGCCGCTGAGGAGTTAAGGCTAGCGCTCGAGAAGGCTGCCCAACTCGAGGCTAACCTTTGAGTAGCACTTGAGAGAGCTACTAGGGTAAAGGCTTAGAGGGATGTTGTTGAGTAAGCCAGGGCCGGTGCCTTCATTGATGGCTACGATGAGCTCAGGAGGAAGGTCTCAACAACATTCCCTGCCTATGATTTTTCTGGCTTCAAGCCTGATGAGGCCCCTGAGACTAATGATGAGGGTGACTATTAGAGTGGAGGCAGTGAGTGATAGTAGGGGTGTGGTGCCTTTGTATTTTTTATTTTGTTGACAGACCATGTCTATCTTTTTGTGAAAAGCTCATGGACTTGAATAAAATACAACTTGTTTGAGAAAATGTTGAGGAATTTTATTTCATAATTCAAAGTAGATATTTGAAGAAAATCGACCAACATAAAAAATTAACCAAGACAAAAAATAAATAATCTAAACCGTGGAAACCAACTCCCGACTCACTGCCTTGCCCCCAGCTATTGGTAATACTTCTTTAGGTGCTCTACATTCCATGGATGAGCCATGATCTTTCCTTCAAAATTTTGGTTTTGGTAGGTCCCCGGCCTTACCACTTCTGTGACCGTGTAGGGTCCTTCCTAGTTAGGTCCCAACATTCCATTCCGGAAGTCTTTGGTTGACAGGATGACCTTTCTGAGGACTAGGACCTCGGGTAAGAAGGCACAAGGCTTCGCCCTTGAGTTGTAGTACTTGGTCATGCGACGCTTGTACTCCGCATTCTTAAGCATGACTATCTCCCTCTCTTCCTCTACCAAGTCGAGGTTGATGTGAAAGCCTTCTTCATTAATGGTAGGGTCATGGTGCTGAACCTTAAGGGAGTGTACCCTGATTTCAAGGGGTATCACTNGCGAAGGCCTTCTTCATTAATGATAGGGTCATGGTGCTGAACCTTAAGGGAGTGTACCCTGATTTCAAGGGGTATCACTACCTCTGTCCTATAGGCTAAAGAGAAAGGGGTCTCACCCATAGGACTTCTTGGTGTAGTGGAGCTGCTTAATCTAGAGGTCTGCACAGAAGCTGTTTAGGAGTTTGTTGTCAAACTGCTTGGCGTTCTCACTTACAATGGCATGCGATATCCCAAAGCGGTAGACTATATTCTTCCATACAAAGTCCTTTACCTTCTGTTCTGTGATTCTAGCTAAGGCTTCAACTTTTCCCCACTTAATGAAGTAGTTGATGGTTATGACTATAAACTTGCACTGGCCTCAACTCACTAGGGGGACCCAAGATGTCGATCCCTCACATGGAGAAAGGCCATGGGCTTTGGATGGTGGTGAGCTCCTCGGGTGGCTGTCTGGGCGCAATTGCAAAGCNTGTGACTATAAACTTGCACTGGCCCAAGATGTCGATCCCTCACATGGAGAAAGGCCATGGGCTTTGGATGGTGGTGAGCTCCTCGGGTGGCTGTCTGGGCGCAATTGCAAAGCGTTAGCACTTGTCACATCTCTTGACAAAGTCTTTAGTGTCTCAAATCAGGGTGGCCCAATAGTATCCCTATCTAGCTGCTTTATGGGCCAATGCACGCCCTCCCGAATGATTCACACATATCCCCTCATGTATCTCCCTCATGACATAGTCGGCCTCCTCGGGGGTGAGGCAGCAGAGTAAAGGGAGAGAATAACTTTCTTTGTAGAGGGTGTGTTGTAGAATGACAGATGTTCTCATCGTCAATCTTCCGACTTTCACTGGGCTATCTGGGAGAACGTCCTCCCCTAGGTGAGCTCGGATATGAGTCATCTAGTTGGACTCTAAGGATGCATAGTGGACCTTGTCCTCTTCTGGCTTGGTTATGCTAGGCTCGAATTGGTGACTTGTCAGCGCTGAGCCCATGAGAATGTTGGCAGAGGCAAACATGGCGAAGGTGTCTGCCATAGCATTTTCCTCTTGAGGCACATGATGGATCTCAAAGCAGGCGAACTTTGTGAGTAGGGCTTGGACCACCAAGAGGTACTCTTGCATTATTTCCCTTTCGCTTCAAAGTGCCCCCATACCTGGTTGACTATAAGTTGCGAGTCACTGTAGGCTGTCAAGTTGAGGGCTTCCATCTCCAACGTTAGTTTCAAACCTGATATGAGGGCTTCACATTCAACTTGATTGTTTAATGTGGCGAAGTGGAGGGAGACAGCGTACTTTAGTGGAGTGCCATGGAGGCTAATCAGCACTAGTTCAGCTTCACCACCCTTGTTGGTGGAGGACCCATCCACATAAAGTCTCCAGCATGGTACAGTGGGTGATGGAGAGGGAACTGACTCAGTGGGCGATGTTGGAGTTGGAGTGGTAGGAAACATTGGGTGGCTGGGAGAGTCCTAGAGAGTGGTCCTGGATGAAAGCAGTGAGGGCAGCGCCCTGGGTATGATGGGCAACACCCCAGGCATAGGGGGTGGCACCGGGCGATGCCCTAAGCAAGTGGGTGTCTCCCTGGGTTGCCCATCTTGGGGCTCCGCCTCCTGTTCCTTTCCGGGGTTATCAAGTTGAACAGTGTCTAGTCTAATCTCCTGGTGGGTTAAGTCAGCATGTACTGAGCAAGTGGGTGTAGGGATACCCATCACTTCTTCCTGTGGCTATTGTAGTGGTGTGGACTCCGCTATGAAATCTGCGAGTGCTTGTGCTTTAATGGCTGACTGTGGCTGATACTGCACATCGAACTCGCTTAACTCAACAGCTCATTTGAGCAATCAACCAGATACATCAGGCTTCCCTAAAATTCTTTTGAGTGGTTGAACTGTGACAACCATGATGGTATACCTCTTAAAGTAATGGCGTAGGTGCCTGGTGGCAGTGACAAGGGTGAAAAGCCAACTTTTCCAATTCTTAGGACCTCATTTCTGCCCATCAATATGCCCTGCTTACATAATATACTGGCTTCTGGATGCCCCTATCCTCTCTGATGATGACTGAGCTTACGACAGAGGGGGAAGAGGAGAGGTAAAGGTAGAGAGTCTCTCCAAGTACAACATGGGATAACAATGGCAGTGTGGCGAGGTAGCCCTTGAGCTTCTGGAAGGCCCCTTTAACGTTTGGGCCCCACTGGAAGGACCTGCGGAGGATCTTAAAAAAAGNGACAGTGTGGCGAGTTAGCCCTTGAGCTTCTGGAAGGCCCCTTTA